TTGCAATTTGAGAGACTGCAATTTCATATTTGTTTGGCGTTCGTAATCACAACCCACTAAGGTCAGAAAAAGTTTTTCGAAGTGTGCGGGTCAGATCTACGCACCATATGCTTCTCACATGGACAATTACATGTTGCGTGTTCTCGAGTCAGAAAATCTGACAAGCGCCATATGTGCCCCGGCAACAACACAAAACGCTGTATATCCACAAGAGTTGTGAAACTACATCTATTACAAAGGTGAGATTTTCCCCTTCATCTTCTTACAAGCAGACAACGGTACAACTATCAACATTTCATACCAACAAGTATTTCGAAACTACATCTACATTTCTTTTCATTCATTATCATTCACCCACAATGACACAACAACGCGTGACGGGCTACAGCGCATGCAGACCAAATGACGGCGCATCGTTCCACCACTGACGATGTGGCCAGCCACTGTCAGTAACAGTGGAAGATAGGTGGTGCTGTATCCCAGTTAGCTTGCAAATTATGCTGCCCAGCCAACGTCCCCCATGGCTCAGTGGCTTAAGATGCTGGCTAATTGGCGTCTGCCTCTAGCGGTCAAGGGTTCGCTCTCCAGTAGGGGACAAAGGGTATGCGCGCCACTGACGAGCCCCAATAAGGCGAAAAGTGTCTGGTGCTTTTCCAGACTAGGCTGTGCTATGTAGCTTGTGAATTACTGGGATGAATATCTTAAGAACTAATAATGTGACAGCTGTGCGCCGCAACAACGCCTCGTTGCCGCGCGATTACCACCAGTCACGCGTGGGCTGAGTATACCACGAAGACGCCCGCCCCCAATGCGGATTCGAACCGGTAACCTTATGATTGTAAGCCAGGCGTGTAGACCACTCCGTCATCGGCCGACTGGTCCTTCCTCAACTTGTTTCCACAGTAATTTATCTTCTAGTTTCAACCCACGTGCTCTGTCGACAAGCCCAGCTCACTGGCTCCTATTTGGAGCTTTCGATTCTCCCTCTCAAGGTACTTACATTATCATAGATCGGTTAACAGACATCATTTGCTCAAACATTAGAGACCCTCTCGATCGATATCTGCTGCTTAACGGGAAATCGCCAACAAAACGCGAGCGCAGTGCTCGCTTTGCGACGCCGTTCATGTGACACTAGCAGTGCTTTCTCAATGCGCTTATCCGAAGACGATACAATTTCGAGTACCGGCCAAGCTGGTGTTGGCATTTCCCTGAGTCCCCGGGCTGAAGCTGCTCTGGTTGATTGGACACCAATCAGTAGCCGTATGTGTGCCATCCGATTGGCTGGCTCGTCCAAAACTTTGAAATCGCGCGAGTCTAATATGTGTCTATTCGTCATTGCTGCTTACGCCCCCCAAAACTGTAGCGTTGAGTCGGTAAAAGACGAGTTCTATTGCCAACTTCACGAGCTCATTCGCCACACGGACACTGCAGTGCTTCATGGGGATCTGAACGCTCAAGTTGAAAAATTCTGCGCTGATGAACTGCATCCGGGCAGCCAACATGGTGTAGGCACCCGTAATGATGACGGTGAACGATTAGTTCATTGGTGTGAAGATGTTCGCTTCTTTCTTGTGATCATTACCTTCCGATACAGCACCTGACGTAGAGTGACATGGCGCCTACTAACGATGGACGCAAGTCCATCACATCATAATCAGTCACCGTTGGAGAGGCTGCGTCCAGAACCGTCGCTCGATTTGGAGCACAAATGCGAACATTTACCATGCACTGGTGTGCGTTGATCTGCAAGTGTTTTGGCGGACGCCCGCGACGATCCTGTGAGCGCATAGACACCAGCCAACCGGAGAAGCCAGGTTTCAAATGTGTAACGAAATATGCTGGCATTCGCGGTGAGCAAGCGCTCACCGAATACAGTTGTAGGTCACTGGTCGGATATTCACCAGACCTTACAAGCAGTAGGTAAATCCTCATGTGGTAAATCCACTAGCCATAATAGAAACTGCGTGTCTTCGCAGTCTTTGGAACTTATCGATGCTCGCCGGCACATTCCGACTGGAGGCGAATACAATGAAACTCGCAAAGAGTTCCGGGCAAAATTCCGTGCTAACCTGAAGAGACCGCGAATCCTGGTGGTCTCATCGTACGTCAGAGATGGAAGTGGTTACTGCCCTTGTTAACCATCGGAGATTGTTCCGTCTGATACGGAAAACGGGAAGAAGAAGACGTGGTAATAGCGAGACTATTTGCGACGGGAGTAAACAGCTAATCCACAACATATCAAAACGCTTGGAGCGTTGGGCTGAGAACTTTGAAGAGCAACTGAGTCAGTCGGAATTGTCAAATTTCTCACAGGTCAGCAATCGCCCAACTCCCTGGACTGTCCTTTTGGATCCATCCTCTCGTTCAGAAATCGTCCGTGAGATAAGACAAAGGCTGCGGGACCAGATGATCTGCATCCCGCCCTATTCAAATTCGGGTGCGCTGCTCTTGCTGATGATGTACATCATCATCAATACACATTAGAGCCGTGGGTGTGAAACACACACCTTAGTTAATGTGCCGCAATACAAAAAGTAAAACATTAAGTAATGTATACCTAAAGGCCATAAAATAGTGACATAATGCTAAGGTCACATTTTTCATGGTTGTTGGAGGTGGAAACTCAAGGGAAGGGGAAGGACAAAGAGACTCACAACACAAAGGCCACTGAGGTTGACTTCACCATGTCAGCTAGTGTATCAAACCATACGTATCAATCATCCTTGGGTCCCCAACCAGGCAGTTGGGAAACACCAACCGACACCAACTTCGAAGTGAGAGACTTCATTCTCCTCGACTAAGTCATCGCTTGGCCTCCCCTCCTCTTCGGCCAACCACACCCCCGGCGTGCAAACAACGCGCGTCGCGGGAGTCGGTGGGCTGGCATGCGTAACATGTGACGAGTTACACGAGTTGCTAGTGAAACTGTGAGGGCAGGAAACTGCTCCATCCGACTGGAGCCGCTCAAATTTTCAAGGGAGGCTCATGTTCGGAATGTAGCAACCAAATTGCTTGCCTCTGTCATCCTTCACAGATGGGCTGGCACCCGTGAAAGCAAGACTGTGAGGAACCAGTCGAGTTTCGATGAGATCAGGACTGCATCGACCACATCTTCACTTGGCGGCCATTGTTGGAGCACCGTCACATATACTGATGGCCCCCTGTAGTGGTGTTCCTTGACCAAAAATGTGCTTTCGATTCGGTTGACCAATGTGCTCTTTGGGACTGTCTACTCAGGAAAGGTGTGCCCGAGAAATACGTAAATATTATACAAGCGTTGTACACGCGTAGCTCAGGCAGAGTGAGGGCTTACGGGAAGCTGTCGCCGCCCTTCAATATCTCCAGCGGTGGGAGACAAGGATGCCCGCTATTGACGAGGTCATGGAGATCGCGTTCACAGAAAACGACTTAGAATGTGTGGAGCTGCTCTCAGGAGAACGACTTCCTGACTATAGTGCCCTTGTCTATGACAGCTTCCATAGGTGCTAAGCTGCATTGGATAGATTAAGTCTGGCTGTCAGGCGCTTCCGGCTTTGCTTTGCAAACTGCAAGTGCAAAACTTTCCACTAAGACTGGCAGGGACCGCCTCCTGCGCTGACTCGTGGTAGTGATCATTTTAGAAGTCGTTCAGGAATGCAACTACCTAGAGGCGCTTTTGCTAACCTTCGCCACCTATGGCGCCGGCGTGACATCACCCTCTCCCTGAAGAGCACAGCGTACAATGTAGCCGTAGGTTCGACCCTACTGTATGGTTTTTGAACCTGGCCCAGTAGATCAACAGACGTAAGGCCAGTTAGGTTCAACCACCGGTGCCTTCGCGGTTTGGCTCATATCTAGTGGGAACATCGCGTGAGTAATGAGCGTGTTCGATGTCTTGTTTATGGCACAGAAAGAGGAAATGAAGCGCCCAGCACCGTTATCTCATGAACCAGGCTACGATGGCTGGGCCAAATGCGCCAAATGCGTTGTTTGCGCGCCCGGGGTGCGGATGGAAAAAGAGGCAGGGTGACCAAGCGATGACTTTGTCAAGAAGAATGAAGGCCCTAACTTCGAAGTTGGTCTCGGCTGGGGCCTCTAGGCTTCATGGTAGGGGACCGAAAGACGATGAACACGTTTGGCTGGATACACTTTTGACATGGCTGGGAACAGACCTCAGTGGCGTTTGTGTTGTGAGTGCCTTTGTCCCTCCCCCTCCCGCTTGGCCACCCTCTCCAATCACGATCTCATTTCGTAGGCATAATATAACTCTCGTTGTAGCACAATAGCCGGCTGGTAGCTCACCGTATTGGTACCCATCTGTTATTGGTGGCTAGGCTGGCCTGCCGCCAATACGTGTTTTTCTTCTCTTCTTAACTATTGCAGCACAATAGCTAAAATGTTTCCACCCCCAGCTAAGGTGTATAATGAATATAATGATAAATACTGGCCTGCACTAATCATTGGCATGATCTCTAGTTCCATGGGAAAATAAACAATTAGATTCATTGGATTATTTCATAGGGCAACAACTAAGTAACAGTATGCAATATCAATAGCGCCAGTTTTTCAACAGAGTGATCCAGGGCAAACGATACCGATGATGAAGGCAAGTAGTGAACTGGTAGTGAAACGAAGAAATAGTCGTCACACGAAGGATACCATAGTCCTTGGGAAGCGATATCCGCATTACTAATGACTAACAAGTGGACAGATACCCCGTAAGCAGCATCATCATTATACACGTTAGCTAGAGGTGGAAAATACCTCAGATATTGCGCCACAAAAGACATAAGCAGACAAATGTACTAACATTTGTCCCCTAAAATGTTCGGATGCATGATTGTGGATTAGGTGTCAAGAACATGTGTACGCGTATATTCCGGTCAGCAGAGGTTACTACTACCACCACCACAGAGTGCAGAGGATGAGAGAACGCATCAAGAATGGACTGCGTATGGTGGCAAATAAACTAGATTTGGTTCCAATCCTCCATGGGATCGTAACCAAGAGAGACTCACAGCAGCCAAGCCAGCAGAGGGTTGTCCAACGGAGCCACATGAATCGAGCTTGGACGGCACGAAAATAACGGCTTTTTTGTTACGTGCCGTCACAGGTTTATCCGCACCACCAGCCGCGTTCCAATTCCGCATTCCGGCCTGCGAAACGCCTTTGGTGTAGCCCAATTTAGCACGACGACTGAGATAGGGCCAAGTCCCCTGCAGAGGTAGGAGGTACAAGAGAGAGTTGGTTAAACATAGCAATGAAGCGGCAAGTGGTTGTATGGCCCACCTGACAAGAAGACAAACGACAGTATGGATCAGAATGTCACAGATTCATTGTGAAGGCTGAAGAAAAGAGAAGCTCATGAAATTGGACTTGGTGTGAAACAAAAGTGCTCCAAGATGATCAGCAATGCCCGCCACACACTGAGACAAATCGATGAATGATGCAGCAGCCAATGTTCGAACGTTGTTTATAAGTAAATACTTGTTGAATGCATCAATTGTAGTAGAAATGTAGCCAAGGAGAGAATAGCAATATGAAGACATATTCGCATGTTCTCGCATGAGAAACGCCCGTAAAATCTAGGCGATCATCTATGAATATCAATGAAGGAGTTGGGTTGGATGACAAGATGGCTCATTTGTTGTTCACAATAGGCAGGTGGTCAGTATGTAGCGTAGTGAGAGAATAATAGTGGGCAATGACTGTAACTTCGACTACCGATAATAAGATCAATTGGAAGTAGATGCAACACATCGAGAACGATCAAAACCATACAACTGCGAGTGGTACAGTAAGCATGGAAAACAGTGAGTGCGGAAAAGCGACGAAGCTGAAGAAGGAGTTTCTCTGCATGCGCTTGAATCTTGTTAGAACTCATGACTAGGAAAAGGTGCAATTGTTAAGCTGATGTACGGAACCGATTTGGACAAAGTGACTTCTAATATTCATCTCTGTACACAGTTTATATATATATATATATATATATATATATATATATATATATATATATATATATATAGTAATCTAGACGTCAGCCGTGAACCACTAGCTCCCGAGTTCCCCCTAGCTCATGCTTCTCCACCTAATGGGTCCAAACTAGGACGAAACCGTCGGTTGGGGGTGGCAGTGTTGCAGGAAGCAAGACCCGAACACTTCCATTGCGGATAAGGTCCTTGTGATCGGAATGACCGTGATCTACTTCAAAGTGAACCGAGGCCTCAATAGAGATTGCTTGTCACAATCCAACCACAAGGCGAACACTCCAAAGCTAACTGAGCAGTGACTTTATTCACTGGCGAGTCACATCCGCCACGTCGCAGTGTTGTTAAGTAGGCATATGTGGCCTTCTATAGGGAGGTATACCAGGCAAAACCCCACCACATCCTGGAACACTGCCGCCGATCCATTTGCTGGAACGGGAAATACCCGAATCACCCAGCTGGTATCACGAGGAGGTTGTTAGGCAAGCCAGATTATGATAGATTAACTGAAGAACTCGCGTGTTCAAAACGGAGACCGATTGTAGTTAATCGACCACTCAGCTTAGACTAGGATAGGAGTATCCTAAACATAAAAGCGACCATAATAATCGGATCCGGAGTACACAGTTTTTGAATCAATAAAACAGGGTAGAAGTATGCAACGCCAGACAGGCACATAACATAAAATCGATGGAATACAGAGTTCACTACGGTCACGTAAGGAAGCGATCATCGCAGTCATCCAACAAACGAGTAGCAAATTCCATGAATATGTAATGTCGAGTGAAACTAATTAGGGTAAATCTGAATGTGTGAATGCTGTAATGTACGTGACTGACTACCACATTATCACGCACAATCATTCTATTCGTAGTTACACAATACGGGAATTCGGCGTTTCGATTAGAAAAGCGTCGAATTTGCCGAATATTGGTCACGACAGTCCGGTGGTGCGCCAAGGCACGGTAGATTCGCCAACCTTGACTCATGCCCACACAAAAGCAAAAAACGAAGGTAGTCAGTCAAATGGAAGAAAGCGGAAAAGACGATAACTTAATTGGAGCAGACGGAAAGTACAGTCGTTTGATGGAGTTGAGAGTACCAAACAAAGACCGAAGTACTAATAAGTAGGATTTTAATCGTGATGTTTTCGTCCCAGCTGTTCTACGAACAAGTTATATCCAATAGAGAACATAAACATTGATGTCAATCATCCCGAGGACTCCATTCAGCAAAACGGTAACTGACAGCCCTCATGCTACGGGAATGTTCCTGCGCAAGACAGTGCCGAACGGAGCTCCAAAGTAGTCACCAGTAAGTAGCGATCGTTTCTTAGAAACGATGGAAAGCCATTGAGGCAACGCATATTCGATCGTCTATAGTAGCAGTTGCGAGCCAATGTTCCATCCCAACGTCGGTTGGCTCAGGTGATTCGACCAAGGCACGAGTGGGCCGCCTGCCACCAAGCGAGCACCATCTTGGGGGTGGTTTTGGCCTAAACAGCAGTCTATCAGACAATGGAGACAGACCACTGACTCTGTTCTGATCATTGCTTGTTTCTTTCGAGCAACAGATTGCGACGCACGAAGAGACAGACTGCCACCTGGGGCCTGCCATTTCAAAAGCAAGAGTCGTCACAATTTGACCACATAGCATCAAGCTACAGATGGTGGGGAAGCGTAACAGACTGTCGTTCGTACTGGTCAGCTTGCCTAGACTCCGATCACGCATTGGTTTGTGGTAAGTTGTACATGCATTTCGGAGGATCGTCTAGGCCTGCGCACTACGGACCGAGAATAGAAAATTTAATAGACCCCATGTAGTTAGCCAACTACCAGGTCTCTAACGACATTGCTTGCCTCAGCTTCGGACAACGATCTGAATTCACAATGGGTGCGCATCAAAAATACTTTAGTTACTGCCAGCAATAACAGTTGTGCAGCTGCCCGCCATCCGCCGAAAAGCTGGATCATCACTGTCACCTTGTCGCTGATGGACGGACGCTGCAAGGTCCAGACTGCTGTCAGCTGCAGCGAAGAGCGCTGATCCATAGATCGAGAATTACGCCGAAGGACCGTGGAACCTGGTGATCTGGACGTGCTCAAGAGATGGAACTTGCTAGTCTCTGGCAATAGTAGAAAACTTTTCCATCTTATCCGAGCCACTGAAGGTTTCCGACCTGGTGTAATCGAAACAATCTGCGAAGAGGATGACCCACCAGTTACATCTTCCACGACGGTTGTACGATGGGTTGAATATTCTGACTCCCAGTTTTGCTGGCCGCCAACAGTCTACTTCCCCTGGAGAGTTCACGGGTGCTGAATGGTCTATCTACACAGATCCTCCCTCACACAAGAAAACCTGACAAAAACCGCCTACTGAAGCGTCATAAAACACCCGGCTATGATACGTTACCACTTGCTCTATTAAAAGATGACGGCTATTCGCTGGGTCGAGAGTTCACTGCATTGTTCGCAAAAGTCTGGTCAAGAGGAGGATCCATCGTCTTGGGGTGAGTCGATGGTGGTCCTAATCTGCAAAATGGGTCTGCGCACAATGTGCTCCAACTAAAGGTTATCAGCTTGATTCCCGTCGTTCGCAAGGTTAAGGGTGCACCATACTTCGAAGGCTATCTTCAATGCGTGAATCGCTACAGCGTAAAGAATATGCGAGGTATCGCCCTGGCGACTGCTGCATCGATCAAAATGTCACACTTCGCCATGTGTATAAGAACCAAAGATCTTCGTGTTCCTGGATATCCATGCTGCCTTCGATACTGCTGACAGGATTGTATTGTGACACTGTGTGTTGAGAAATGTCGCCGCGAAGGTCGTTTCTGTACTGTGTACTAAGTACAGTCTGATCACAGGTGGAGTTACGGTTTATGGCAAGCTTTCACGTTCCTTCGTTGTCACCAATGGAGTTCGACAAGGATGCCCTATTTCGCTATTTCTTTGCCATTGAGGATGTCCCCAAAATGCCCTAGAAGACTCGTTAAATGCAGACAATGTTGATGAAAACGCTCTAGATCTGACATCCTTCTGGTAAATTGCTGAATAGAACGGACAGCATCATCGAATTGTAAACTACCAATTTTGTTCCAATAGTAAGCTGTTGGTTGTGCCACACGTTCCTCCAGTTAGCCAAACGAAGCAGCCACATTCGATATGCGAATACGTAGCTCAGTCGTCATCCGCTGACCGGTTGATATTACCCATTTAAGGTAGCAAAATTTCGATGCCGTTTCCAACACGTCGAGACTGGATCTTAACGTGCAACAGTTTGCGTACCTCTTTGACCTATTGAGCAATACTGGGTGGTGCCCCTGGGCCCCTTGAGAGCTATAGTCCTACCATGTTGGGTAATGGTTAGAAGACAGACAAACACAGTCTCCTGATCCTCCAGGTTAGAGGTTTGAAATAGGATGGCGTTCATTTAAGTAAAACTAAATCATCGCCACCTCCCCGCTACCATGTGGACAGGCTTTTGAACCAAAGGCTCTGGTTGAGGACCCTAATCGTCCTTCTGTCCATGTACATTCAGATCGTTTTAGGTAATCACAGTTGTCGTGACCTGCAGAGGCTTCTAAGACATTTCTCTAGAAAGCATGCCCATAGCACACCTAGCACCAAGGATGCAGATAAACGCAATGCTGAGTTCGGCTCGTCATCACCTAACACTCTCCATTCCTTCCCTCACCACTAATGAGTCTCCTACTTCGTTTGATTCTACAAGTGTTCACAAGGAGCTCACAAGACTGAAGCCAAACTAAGCTAGTGGATCGGATGCTGTACAAGCGGTCGTTCTGAAAAAATGCGCAGATGCATTAACGAGATCTCTAGCATAGATCTTGAATCCATGCTTAACGACTGGTACCATCACCGACACATTTGGAAATTATCCAAAATAACATTAGTGCCCAAAAAAGGATATCGGAAATATCGACCAATTGCATGCAAATCTGTAGTGCTAAAGATACTTGAAAAACCATTGATCCCCCGAAATTACACAGGTAGCCATACTGATTATGTCAAAAGCTTGCCTTTGAACCATGGCGCTTTGCATGGATGTCTTTTCTTATATGATGTATTCCATTGCGTTAGCGATGGATGATATATGCAAGAGCGTACGGCTACTATTTATTGATTACACCAACCTCTTTGGGAGCCTCGATAAATTATTACTGCTCAATTTTTGTCCAAAAGTGGCGTCCCCCAAATGTGTGATACGTGAGTACTTCACAAATCGCACACACTTCATGCAGTTTTGCGGCAGAAAGTCTTCCGTACTCTAAGCTAATTGTGGTGTTTTGCAGGGAGACATTCTATCCCCCTTTCTATTCTCCGCCTAGGTCGAAAGTTTCGAAATTCCATTTAACTTCATAGGCTGTAAATATGTGGATGACGTCGTCCTGGGATGCAGAGCCCCAGTCATTGAGGACTATTTAAAACACCAACCGGGGTTAGACGAACCAGTGAATTGGTCCAGCTCCCCGGCCCTCTCTCAATCCTTCCCAGTGTTGTGACATAACGTACTGTTATCTACATCTCAACAGACTGCAGTCCCTTGTACATGTCTCCCCTCTCAAGATTGTGGATGACCAAAGCGTACCTCGTTCCTCTACCGTAAAATATCTCGGAGTTTAGCTATTGCACATTTTATTTTGATCCACACAAACTCCTGAAAAAGTTTAAGGTTTTCTTTTTATGCCCTTAGGCTCAAAGCGCTTTCCGTTCCTCGTGCTTTAATTATAAGGTTTGTAAGTGTATTCTTTCCCTCGAAATGATAAGACCGTCCCCCTGTTATGTTCCGCGGACTTCTCCAAAAAGATTATGTGCGTCTTGTCTGTTCACTAAAATTTCTCTCGCTGTTCTGGATTAAAGAATCGCTCACTTATTTCATCCAGCATTCTAAACGCCTCCCACCTTTTACATGCTATCCTTAGCTAGCACATCTACTTCTTCCACAAGATCGAAATGCGAAGTTTTATATTCTCGTACCTCATCGTATGGAAACTCCATCCTTGCTTATCTATCACGCTTACTAATCGACGCATCAGGAATAACTCACCGCTTTCGTGACCGTATGCTTGATCGGAGATGCGGACCTCTGTTTTACTGCTGTCAATTTTTGCTTCCTTATTGAGGCCTTGCTGTAGTATATTATGCAGTGTTGGTGTGAAATGCTGAAAACGTGCCCATATGGATGGATTAAGCTTATCTTGACTTGACTATCGATGTCAGGCAATTAGAACCAAAATGCCACCACACCGTAACTTAGAGCATTCGTGCCTAGCACCTCACGCAGGGTTCAACAAGCCACAAACGTTTTGCGCTCTTGCAGGAACTCGTATGGCAAGCATCCGCGAATAACCCGTTGCTCACTGGTTAACAGCACAGCCACCGCTAAATTCAGGATAGTCGAACAATGTAATATTAGTGTTCCGAGGCATTTTCTTACATACCGTTATTAAAGAACCTACGAGAAAGTTCCAGAAATTTTTGGAACGTCATCGAGAAAGATTCCATTGATGTTGGGACAACCCAATAGTTCACCAGGGTTGTTTGTTTGTCGGGATTGTGCACTGCATAGACTCCAGGAAGGTACAATAGGTCTAACACCAGTGGGTGAAGTGTTGATCGTTCCACAAAAGGGAGCATATCCCGCCCGTCGGGAAATATACCTACTTATTTAATTATTAGTTATCTGAGTATCAAGACTTATGCCGAAACGTTTCCGTCGGAGAGAAAGTTTCATTAAATTTTTTCACAGACGATTAGATCGTAGTATGAGAGGTCAGAAGCAGGTCGGTGAATAAAGGATCAAGACCTGAGAATTCGGAATTTTAATCATTTATGAGTAGAAAGGAGGGTATAATAGACAGGGTGAATGCAGTAGCAACGATAAGCGTACAACGAGAAATAATACCAGTGGCTCAGTCGAGTTGTTTCCGGGTTTAACAATCAACTTTACGTGAGTAATAGTGATTTGAGTTCTCCCAGTTGATATCTTTGGTGTAGGCTACAGATGGACAGGAGTAGAACTCGAATGCTTCCACTGAGCTGAGCCCCCGCGTCTAACGAGTTGTCAACATTTGTCGATTTTACAATAAGCCGTGCAGTTTTTATTAAGATGTTAATGCAACAGTACCGTGGGGTTAGCAAACTGGAAAGCGTTTCTCAAGTGCACCGGTAACGACTGCTCAGTTTTGTCAGTTAAAAAGGCTTACAAGGCAACACGGCCTCCCCTTTACTATTTTGATAAACAAGTCAACATTACGCTGTCGGTTACAGCGACAAGCGACTAACCAGTGACCGACAAATGAAGTTGCGCACCTCGGCGCATTATCAAACTGCCATATTCGGAGGACGGAGACAATGACCGTCTCTGCCAGCATCAGCAGGTCCTATTACAGTGCGGATAGTCTACGGATATGAAGCATTTATCCGCCCAGATAGAAGCAGCCTGTTTTATCGGCACATCATCCTCATCAACATACGTTAGGCGAGGGTGAAAAGCACCTCAGCTGATGCGCCACAATACAAAAAGATAAGAGATCAAAGAGTATAGACTACAAAAGCTAAAAAGTAACTTGATGCTAAAATCGTACTGTGCAATGGATTGAGATCGTTGTTGGAAGGGGAAGCTAAAGGGGAGGAGAGGGACAAAGAAACTCACAAACACAAACGCTCTCAGAGTAGCTGTTCCGATAGAACAGGTACTCTGAAAGTCAAAATACAGAGAAACGCCTTACGATCCTTCTCTGACGGAATAAAAACGAAAGCGGAACTGTCGGTCGCACTGCAAAAACAACATCGTAGAAAGAAACTGACATTGAAAATTTCTTCCAGTTCCGAATCACGATCAACGTCATTACGACCGTCTCCAGAGGCGCCAGAGACATTGAGCAGGCGAAGCAGCTCTGAGTGTTTCAGATGACGTGGTCCGCCCGTTCCGATGTGATACTTCAAGAAACGAGCGTGGGAGGACATGAAAGCTCGCCGGTTTTTACATGGCATCGATTCTTCTGCCGGAAAATCGCTCTGTTCATCGTTGGCCAAATCTACAGAAATTAACACGTGACATTAACACACCACCATCATTCTACACGTTAGCTAGGAGTGAGAAACACACCAGTTATTGTGCCGCAACACAATTCAATTAGATGATAATAAACAGATTGCAAAAAGAAAAAATCAAAATAGCACTGTTTCCAAACAGGAAAATTAGAAGACGCAAACAGTGAGACGACCGTCATTTCGTGCAAGCTCCTCAATCACAAATCATGCAGAAATCATAGATATACAAAACGCGATCATATGAGATCAATAGTTGGCCGATTGTCACCCCTCACACGACCAAGGTAGGTTAAGATACACAGGCAACGGTTTCTGCATACAAAACAGCTGCCGCTCTCGATCGATGACGATAGTTTCCAATAGCCTGAGAATGTGGGGCCGCTGATTGTGCACAAGGACGGTGAATGACTCACGGGAGTTAATTCGGTGGCTGGTGCTTAGCAAGTGCCTTGTGATTACCAAGGTAGCTCGATTTCCTAATTCCCCCGATTCCGCCGTCGCCGAAACCACCCGGCTGTGTAACCACTTAGGAATGTGCGTATTGATACTGACACCTGAACTTCGGTTAGTGCGCCCTATATAGCTGTCTCCGCAGTTACAGGTGTATTAGTATATGCAATGGGATATTCACTGCATCCTTATCGGTGTCTTGTTGGAACACATAAGCAGAGGTCTTGTTGAAGTGAGCAACCGTTCAGCTGTATTGTACGCCATTTTCACTGAGGCTAGTGGGTGGGTGCTGTGTCGGAAGTTAGTGCTCGGGAAAAACAGAAGAACATCTTCACACATGTGAAGAAATCGCTCACCGTTGGTGCATAATGCTAAACTTGGCTGATGTGGATCCTCAGTTTGATAACATAAGTTAACGAGTCGGCGTTACTGAAGTGAAAAATTGACTAAGGATGCGCAATGAGGCTCAAAAAACCAGTTCTGAACATTCAAGTTGACCGGAAGAGTGTACGTAAACGGTGCAAAATCATCGGAAGAATGTCGGCCGTGAGTCGGATCAGAGCGGCGTTTGATCACGGCTTGCAAGCGTCGACGAAGACGTTCGACTAAACCGTTCGCTTAGGGATAATAATTGGCCCAAGCATAGACAGAACGATTAGATTTCATAACCAAAGCCCTTATTTCAGAAGTCACCAAACTAGGGCCCGCGACGTTAGCTCATCCGGCCCGCCGACGGTGCCCGAAGTTGAGTCGCCATCCGAGCTCTATGTCTACGAAAGTACATTTGTATGAAAGCCCTAACCATAAAGCTAGGATGGAGGCTGTATCCGGCCCGCGAGCCTTAGTTAGATGACCTCTTAACTAAGGGCTTCGGCTGAAAATTCTAAGCCATCCTTCCTATGTTTGGGCAACACGACAGTGTTCTGCGCATGCAATACAGTACAATGGAGTTCTTTTGAAGCAGTTTCTGGATGCGGTTTGACCATGGTCATACAATGTCACCGCCGCACCCTACCCGTGCTTGGTCCCTCCGAGTCGCTTATCAGGTTCGACAATTAGAGATTATGAACGTGTAACTCAGTCGTCGGGACCGCTCACACCACTACCTGCACTTCGGACGGTAAGAACGACAGCGCTTGACACGCTGTACCCTGAACACAAGCTTAAACCCATTCACCTGCATGCACGATGGCCTGCATGTGACCCACATAGTTGTCGCGTTGTCAAGCCCACAGTGCGGTGTGCAGCTTTCATGCGGCTGTCCTTTGATTCATTGATTCAAGTCATTGATTGAGTCATTGATTCAAGCGACACAGTCAAGTCTAGTCGTGGCGTAGTCACCTGTACGAATTGGTGAGTACGTCTAGCCTCATGGCAGAGTTTTAGAGCCCATGGTGTTCACGAGAGCTGAAACCTTGTATAGCCCCTTCATATACCATGTGTACATAAGTAAAAAGTTTATTTTCAACTAATGTGTACAAATGTACTCATACTCTGATTTGCATAATTGATAATGAACGACTGACATCTTTCCTTCGCTAGGTTAAGAAATCTCGTATACCGCTACCGATATACAGTCAAACCCGCTTTATTGCCCACCCGGTTTATAGCCCACCTCGCTTTATTGCCCAGTTTTTCAAAATACAAATTCTTTTCTCATAAATAGGCTAAATTTTCACCGTCTAATTGCCCATTACCGGGGTCGTCCCACCGCTTAATTGCCCAGCTGCGTGGGCTATGCTCTTGTCGCTTTGTCAATTTTATGCCCTCTCTTTGACTCTTTTATTAAGATTGCCCCACAGTTAGCCAGTCCGATCGAGTCAAGAACAACAAAGATGTCGGCGGCGTTATTGACAGATCAGAAAAGGTTACCTATGTCATTCAATACACGAGCAAGCTAAATGTACAGACGGCTGTGGGCAAACCCTCGGCCCTATTCAAAACTCGAGAACTGAGCAAAGTCGGGTAAACTTTCCGCTCCACATTTGTCACTACTCTATTGGTTACACACAAGTATGCCAAGTAACAGAAAGGATTTGTCCTTGACAGAAAAGTTGGACGTTTTGGACAAATTAAAACATATCCACCAGGAACCTCGCAGGTCAAGATGTCGCGTGATTTACACATTTCTCGTCCTACCCTAGCCAGGTTGATTGCCAGTGAAAAGGAACTCCGGCAGAATTTGTCGCATGGCACTGCAAGCTCTCAGAAAAGGAAGCGATGTGGAAAGGATGAAGAAGAAACTGCATTGAAAGACTGGATGATCTCGGTTCGTGAGCACAACCAAACAGTTACAGGCCCGCTTCTGAAGAAAAAGGCAGAAGAATTCGGGGAAGGACTTGGAAAAACCTGTGCTGCCACAGAAGGACGGTTGCGAAGATGGAAGAATAGAACTCAAATTGTGTATAAACGTGCACATGGCGAAAAGAGTTCCGCGGACAGAGCAGTCTGTGAAAATTGGCTGAAAGATCGACTGCCTGAACTTTTAAATGCTTTTTATGATGACAACGTGTACAATGCAGACGAAACAGGTCTTTTTTACCGAGCAACTCCAGAATGCTCTTTGTGTTTTGCTGCCGACAAGCCCAGCAGATCGAAAAAGCCATGGATAGGATCACTTTCCTGTGCTGCGCGAATATGTCAGGCACGGATAAAAGAAATATAGTATTGATTTAAAAAGTAAGAAACCACGATGTTTTAATGGCGTGAACGTACTTACACTTCCCGTAACTTACAGAGCTAACAAAAATGCGTGGATGTCGAAAGAACTTTTCACCGAGTGGGTCCTCGAATGGGACAAGGAGCTAGGCCAATGTGGCCGAAAAGTTATGTTGCTCTTGGATAATTGCACAGCGCATCCACAGGTAGAAGGACTGAAAGACATTCAAATGGAATTTTTGCAGGCAAACACGGCCAGCATTCTTCAACCCATGGACCAAAGTGTGATTATGAATCTGAGAACCCGTTACAGAAAGGAAATTGTGGACCGAATTCCTTATCACATCGAAAACAACGTGTTATCTGGCTCATCATCGGCGGTGGATGTCAACGCCAAGATTTCTGTGCGCAATGCAATTAAGTTCCTTTCAAAAAGTTGGAGACAGGTTACCGGTGCAACAATAAAAGCGTGCTTTCGGCATGCTGGCTTCAGTCGACTAGAATCCGATGCACTTTCTGATGACGCCGTCATCGCTGAAGACGAGATCAGCGCTTGCACAATCCCAGTCATGAATGCAGAAGAGTTCGTCGCCATTGACAACGATGTGGAATGTACCTCAGATCTGACAACTGTTGACGATGAAATCGTCAGTAAAATTTTAGAGAACCGACTAGAACAGAAAGAAGGCAGCGACTCAGAGGATGACGTGCCGGATGCCTCCGTGAGTAACAGCAATCAGCGCGTGTCGCATTCAAGAGCAAATAACTGTGTGAATGATCTGTGTAGCTACGGACTTTTGCATGGGCAAGGCAACGATTTCTTATCCCAATTGGACTTCATCAGAGCAAAAGTGACTGGGGTATCTGCACGAAATAATGTACAACTGACGTTGGATTGTTCTCTCAGCAAAAATATACAGTAGCGCCAGTTTCTATAGCTATCCAGGTAAGATGCTTTACGTTATAACTTTAAATTATAGGCCATGCTCTTCTGAATAAACGTCTTTTGTAGGCTTCAGTTAAAAGTACGTATTTTATCTTTCTTACCACGTTACAATTCAAGTGATATACTGTACAATAATTCAATGGTTGTTTCCCTTTTGGGAAAAATGGCAATATCGATTAATTGCCCACCCCGCTTTATTGCCCACTTTTGAGATATCCCGATGGTGGGCAATAAAGCGGCTTCGACTGCCAACAAAACTTTTTTGGATCAAAGTCCTTGCTTGTGCACGAAAGGGATACACAAGGAGAGCATGCTACAACTGTCTCAAGGCAGGTCACATATATGCCAACTGTGGAGACGACGAAGGGTGCAGAGTGTCCGTGACAAATTAGAAGGCGAAAGCGTTGGATTTAAGCGATTTTGGTCTATCTCTATGGAACCTCGGGCTCCAACTCGCAGAACCACAGTTAAAGACACTGTTACAAGCTGGTTATTTAAGTCGACCCTATTATATGTTTAAAACACTCCTTATGTGATATCTTATTTTACCAAAGTTGCCTATAAACTGTATGACGTAAAGTAGACGTGCACTTTTGTGTAACGTAGCTTCACCAGAGACCCTTAGTCCTTTGTTTTGCTAGTGTTCCAGTACGATGTTAACTAGGTTTCCAATTCAATGTTTTTTTTTAATTTCCAACTGCTGTTTACTGCACCGCTCCCTATGGTTATCACGAAGCGGAAAAGGAATACCAGGTGTCCCGTTTTTAAGAGGAATGGAAACCATGGACAGGAAATCCAGTTGCGCAATATGCGGCGAAAGTGCGACCATTTGGAAAGAGTACAATCCTCGGCGTCGTCATGGAACAAAATATCTAAAGACAGGTTCAAAGGTTTCGGAAAAACAACGCCCGGATAAACTTGGGTCCATGAAA